GACTGTCATTAAAAGGTACTTGAAATGGAACTTTTTTAAATTTATTTTTTATTGTCGTATTGGCAGACGAGATGGTATGGGCTATAGTCAAGTCGCCGCCTAAGGTATTATCGTAGCAAATACCACCATTTCACAAATGTACAAAAATCTAAGCTTTACACTTAGATTTATTGTAGTTGTATTGTAGTAGTTGTAAATACTTTATTTTTTTATTACCTTTGTAGGCAAACAAGTATACGGCCCACCTGATAGTAAGTGGTTACCGTCGCTCATGGACGTCAGCAGTACCAGGGGCAGAACCAAGCCGCTGCCTACCGTTTAATACTCTCCACAAGCCTCGTTTGAATAAGGACATGTCATAGCGCTCGGGAAACACCGTGGAGGGGAGCTCATTCCAAAGCCGGATGGTACGCGGCAAAAAATATCTCTGGAAACGCACTGTGAATGAACGTAGTGGCTCCAGGTAGTATGGATCAACTCTACCCCAATGGTGGCCGGTGCGATGGTAGCAACGAGATGAGGATATCATCTCAAACAATTCCTCAGAGCACTTCCCTTCTCTCTCATAATGCACATTAACTGGAGACATTGAAGAGGTCGACGTTATGATAGCTATTTTATTACAATAGATCCACAAAGTACACAGATACTGACTCATAAATAGAATGCGGCCCAAAAATGAATGAGTTAGAATCCTTTTAAATCTAGTGATGCGTGTAGTCCGCAAACAACAAAGAGGGATACACAAAATGATGAATGAAATGAAACATTCATGACGTCACCGCCAATATGACGCGGGCGTGCGAGAGAAATAGGAGGATATTCTCACCACGCGTCCATTTTTTTTATATTGTAGTAGTATTCATCTCCGGCGAAAATCGACAAAAACCTGAATTACGTTAACGAATATTTCAAGTTCTTTACGTTTTGAATAAAAACACCCACACCAATGGAAGATTTTTGTCCTTCCGTGTCCATTACGAGGTCGTATTACATACGAGTATATAAAAAAAAGACGTGTGGCACTCGGGTACTGCCGCGGTAAAGCTATTGCAAAGCATTTTTTATCAACTTATGCAATTACAATTAGAAAATATTAATTTAATATTAAAACAAGAATAAAAATAAGACCACGCTATATTTATAAACATTAACAAAAGCAAAACATTAATTGTCCCATTCACACTCATAAGGTAGACCGCGTGAGAGAGAGATGGGTAGACTTTTCATGATGCTCATGCAGTGCGACGTCACGCCGCGCGCTTATTCATAAACACTACACCAGCGCAACGTGGGAATGTGTTGAACGCGAGCTACATAGTAGGCGTAGTGGGGGTGTGAGGTTATTTTCGTTACGGAATTTCTTGATTCAGTCGCCGCGCTCAAGGCCCGCGATAGAAGCTATGCAATAGCTTAAAAATTCCAATCGAGTTTTCACTGAATTTTTTTTAAAATATTGTTTAGTACATAATCGAATATTTGATTCATTGTCTGAAGAAGGCGGTGACTTTTATTTTTCGATGATTTTTAATTTGCGAAAAGCTTGGAGGCTCATCTACACCAAAAAGATGATGAGTTTAAAAACAAAGAAACATCTTTCTTCTGGTATAATTTTATAATTTCTATCCAGAGTTTTCCTCACATTATTGCTATTTTAAGCAAACGAGCATATTATGTCCTATCGGACGATAACTAGTCACTGTTACTCACGGACATTAGCAATGCCAGAGTTATAGTCAAGTCGCCGCCGAAGGTATTGGCGTAGCAAATACATCCATTTCACCATTGCATAAAGACCTAAGCTTCAAACTTAGATTTATCGTAGTTAGTCTTTAAACAAAATTTAATAAATAATTCAGTGATTTGTTCTACAAGAACAGGATTGAAAAGGTTTCAATTGTAAATACTTTTCCTGAGATAGTTTGGCTAGTTTACAAATTAGATTCCAGTTCTCCGATTACAAAGAAGAGTCAAATTGAAATCAAAATTCCTTGAAAACACTGATGTGCTGTCAATGAGTACTGCATGCAGTATTATTGTAATGTTGAAGGTGTTGGTAATAATGTGGAAATATATCGTAAACCAAATTAAGATAACGAATTGACTGAGGTATTAAAAGAGTTACGCAAGATTGAAATATGCGGTAAAAGAAAGACTACTAGCTCGGTGAATCTAGAATAACCCCTCGAGATTACTAAAATAGGTAGGAAAAAAAAAGTAAATCATAAGTATTAAAATTGCTTTCGTATTCTCGTTGAAAGTCTCATAGTTCGTTCAATGTCTAGCAAGTTTTAAATGCAACGCCACGGCTTGGAAGTGCCCAAATCCCCTCTGATGAATACATCGCGTCTCGCGACCCGGGCGGCTTCTACCATCCGTCACTACTATCGCCCGTCTTGAGTCACGGTCGACATAAAAATTCTCCCCCCGACGTAACACTTGATTAATGTTCGAAAAAACCCCAATTAAGCACACACTCGAACATATTTTATTTAACTTCACGCGTATAGCAGCGGTAGAGAGCCGTGGATCGACTTACATGCGATTTTATCCTGTTATCGAAATTCGTAAAATCATGCTTTCTGTATTCTGGTCCGCTGTGTGTTGCGCACAAAGGGATTCCTCACCATTCATTAAAAGTCCTACTAATTTCGGATTCATGGCGGTTTTTTGTTTTGCAATAATGACATCAAATGTTCGCATCTCTTCGAAAACGTGGAGACTTTGTGTTGATGAAGATAAACTGTTTAGTTTCTACTTCGAGTAAATGTTGTTGTCGTGGGTAGTTCCTTAAGTGAATATCTAATCGTAGAAGGAAGGAACTTGACGCATACATTTTGTACTAAGTAACGCAAATTTCCTGAAACTCGGTGTTTCGTATATCCTATTCTAACGTTCGCGTTAGACAGAGATAGACAAGTTTGTGTGAATGTAAAATGTACGTGAGCTTTAGTGAGATTTATAATTTTATATTATTGTAGAAAATATTTATTGTAAAAAATCACTAACTGCTCTCCAATTGGTTGCTTTTGAATTAATAAATTTCAGTTATACTTAGGTCAAATATCTTTGGCTATAATTTTATCATGTAACTTAAGCAATCGATCATAAAGCTTAATGTTCATTGAAAGTGTCGAAGTCGGCGCCCTCTCACTCTGTGTGCAACGTACACCCCGCACCATAGATAAAGCAGCCTCTGAAATTAGTTATGGAAATAGTTTGAACCTTGTGAAAGAACGTATGCTACCTTTCATCCCACTGTTGAGTACGGGTGTCGGACCACGCGATATGAATTGTATCCACGCATGCGAAACCACAGGCGGAAAATTACTCGACAATCAAGTTAGAACGGTAACTTTGACTACAATTAATATTTTTCACTTTACGATTTCTTTGATGACGTATTGTGATATGATTTCTATGATGACGTATTTTTACGTTTTTATTTAAATTTTGAGATTAACTTTTCATCTTAATCCCTTTTAAAATTATATTACTACGGCAGAAACAATTAAACTGAACTGAGATGCGGGTGAAGCGATTATGTTTTTTATTGTACATTATTTTATTTATCTTGATCCGCCCACACATTGCAGGTAAATGCATTTTGAAACTATGGGAAGCACAGGATATTTTTGTTTATAACTTAACATTAAATAGGCTAGTGCGGCGACCCTCAGATTATAGAAACCTTTGGCTTTGCCGCAGTCGAGCAAGAAATCAAAACACTCCAAGCTCAGTTTTGAATAGTTTCAGTTTATATAGATAGTACTTTAAAAAAATATCTCGGCTTAAAATAGTTTAAGATCAAACTCTCGTTCGTAATTTAACAAAAAATCAAAAGTTTTGCATAAGAAAACAACATCTCCTCCAGACAAATTTTGTTCTGAATTTTTTTTACGTTGCGAAAAATTAACAATTCAATGCCTTGTTAAAATAATTAAAAAGATTAGGGCGGGCAAAATTAAGAAAGTTAATTCCGGACGCCTGGCTGTTTGGCCACCAGATCCCTTTGCACTTCTGAATTTCTTAACGCTTTAAACAAAACGTTTTTTGATATCAATATTTTTTATGATTGCGTGATATACAGATATGCGTGTCCGAAATCTACACGTTTTTTTTGTATACACGAGGTTTTGATAGAGTACTTGCGAGTTCTGGAGATAATATTATATTCTCGATTCAAAAAGCATCTCACTTTAAAAAAACTATCTTAGGTCAGCACTGCTTTGTGCGGAATATGTTCATCTCGAAACACTGCTCAATCAAAAATCGACTTTTTTTTCCTACCTATTCTAGTAACCTTGAGGGGTTATACTAGATTCGCAGAACGAGTAGGTGAGCTCACAGGGCTCTAACCTGACGACATTGCTAACACTAGCCCGAGCAAGAGCAGTACTTTGCAGAATCTACCTCCGGATCGGAAACGCGACTCACTGAGAAGATCCGGTGAGAAACTCAGTGGGCTAAAAATCGACACCCTCCTTTCTATTGCTTCATTTAGGGCCAAAGTCAGTAACCGCAAAATTGAGTACCATGGCTCTTTTGTTTTTATTGACGTTTATTCTTAAATCTTTTGTTTTAATTTAACAGAATATAATATGAGTACGATCTGCATTCCACAAGTGATATTCTGAGACTGTTGAATTGTTATATAAATCGTAAACATATATCAACAATGAACTTAATATGTGTATGATATGTGTATGAATTTTTACTGGTGGTAGGACCTCTTATGAGTCCGCCGGGTAGGTACCACCACCCCGCCTATTTCTGCCGTGAAGCAGTAATGCGTTTCGGTTTGAAGGGTGGAGCAGCCGTTGTAACTATACTTGAGACCTTAGAACTTATATCTCTTGGTGGGTGGCGCATTTACGTCGTAGATCTCTATGGGTTCCAGTAACCACTTAACACCAGGTGTGGGCTGTGAGCTCGTCCGCTCATCTAAGCAATAAATAAAAAAATATTATTAATTTGAGATTAATCTTTTCTTGTTGCAGATTGATTAGTAAAATGAGTGTGGCGTGGTGGCGACAGCGATACCAGTTTAGAGAACAAGTGCATTGAGGCTGAACCTCAAGAAATATGGCATTGATGTACAAAGAGCTTCGGGTTCTGCTACTCGTTGTGATGCTTCTATCGAGAGGTATGTTTTAGTATCTATACTAACTAGAGGTGCGCAGTTGTCGAAATTCGACTATAATTAATTGGAATTGTAAGTTTGTACACTATTATGATTGTATTTTATAGTTCTATAATCACAAATTTCGCCAAGGCTGCACTATAAAAAATATTAACAAACAATATTTAATCTATTCTCAATTTGACAACAGACGCCAAGAACAAAAGTTTGACAATAAATAGTATTCATGCGTGTGTGCGTCAAATACATGGTATATAGTGTGTGTAATGTTTTCTTTATTGATTTAATGTATCTTTTATGCATTATTTAAAAAAATATTAGCATTGTGCACTTTTTCTCTATATACTCTATAAGTGTGCAAAATTTCATACTCCTCCGTCCGCGCAATTTTCGTAAAAAGGGATACAAAGTTTTTGCTTCACGTATTAATATATAGATATATAAATCTACATTGGTGTTTACGGATGTTCCGTTATAACTATTAAACTATGCACCCGATTGACTTAAAACTTGGTATCCATGTAGAAAACACATGTACTTAATGGATAGACTAATATTAATATGAGTGTTGGACTCCTTACGCCAGTTGCGGGGGCGTTAATGATGAGAATCTTTCTGGGGGTGAGAAATAGTAATGTTAATTTTAAATGCCCAGCGAAGTGGACGGATACAGCTAGTAAGTTTATATAACTAGAAATTCAATTGTACCAGAAAAACTATGGCCGTTGGGATAGGATAGGACGACTAAAGTATTCACCGGCGTATGGATACCAGCATCCGCTGAGTAAATCAGCGTACTGCGATCGTCAACTGGCATTTACTGGGGGTAAGGCTTATTGTGGTGGATACCACCACCACGCCTATTTCTGTCGCGAAACAGACATGCATTTCAGTTATACAATACAATTGCAATCGAAATTTCGACCTCATGTCTCAAGATGGATGGCGATATTCACGTGCGAATGTCTTACTTAATATTTAATACTAGTTTGGTCAGATCGTTTAGTCAATGGTAGGCGACGGCTTGGCTCTGCTCATGGCATTGCTGAAGTCCATGGGCGGTGCACTCACCGTCAGGCGGGGCGTACGCTCATCTATCTGCCTACAAGGCCAATAAAAAATAATAATAATAGTCGTAGTAACAGTTGTTTAAGCTATAAACAATTGTTTGAATTCGGAACGTCAAAGGTGTCAACGAGCGACGTCCGCTATGACGCCTTACCCCTTTCCATTTCCAGCCGTCAAGGGCGATACATCTGTTTCTTATTTCTTATAGTCATTAATTTAAAATTATTTATTTTGTCACTTATAGATAAATAAAAACATCAAACTAATAATACAGTCCACTCTTATTCACAACGCAACACAATCAAACGTGTAGGCGTTCTCAATTTGAAGCTATCTTTGAACCTAAATTTACGAAGAATTTACGCGAACTTAATTTTGTCTCACAGTAAGTACAAGCACATGGCTTATTTTTAGAGAAAATAAATTGTATTTTTCTTTGTTTAGAAAATTGTTTTCATGTCTGTCTTTTGAAATTGAGTCTTGGAATTGTTTGAGATGATACCCTCATCTCGTTTTTACCATTGCACCGCCCGCCACCGGAATAAAGTTCATACATAATACCTGAAGCCATTGCGTTCATCCACAGTGCGTTTCCAGAGATCTTTTTTGCCACGTACCATCCGGCTTTGGAATGAGCTCCACTCCATGGTGTTACCCGAGCGCTATGACATATCCTTCTTCAAACGAGGTTTATGGAGAGTACTTAACAGTAGGCAGCGGCTTGGTTCTGCCCCTGCCATTGCCTAAATCCATGGGCGACGGTAACCACTCACCATCAGGTGGGCCGTATGCCCGTTTGCCTACAAGGGCAATAAAAAAATTAGTACAAACCATAAAGTAGTTCACGTAAAAACTTTTCAATGTATTATATTAAAAATCGATCTCACATTTTACCTCAAAACATTCGTTGCGAGTCTTCCTTAACTTTGCTTCTATATTTTCTATTTTATGTGTAAATACTTAAAGTAGTTAGACGCAATAAAGAGTAATACAGAAAAGCGTGGCACACCCTTCAATCGATAATCGAATATGATTAAACAAACACAAAACAAATTTATAAAATGCGTCTTAACCGAGACAAAAATACATTGTACTCATTAAAATATACCTGTATAAATAAATTACTTCGTCATTTCGTACCATCCAGCCCCCACGCGTATCTCATACAATGTCCTGTTTATTTTTGTCACAAATAGAAAACGAACTGGAAGTCTGTATGTAATATTTTTATTTTAAGCACTTAGGAGTTCACAGGTAATTGGCCGAGAAGGCTTTATTCATGATATGTTTGTGTGTGTTTTCGGAATGATTAATTAATTTTATCTTACTGGTAACTAATTATATTTTTTAAAACAAGCTTTTAACCTTCCTTGTGATATTTGACTCTTAGATGTCAATAGATTTTTTTAACTGCTATCAAATTTCAGTTCTGTCGAGGAGAATATTGAAAATATTATCGAAAAGACGTCAAAAAATTTTAAATGTTATGTGAACTCTGACACTCGCACGGTGAAGCAGTGTCCGACAGAGATGTCTCGAGATGGATCGGGTCGTATACAATTGGATCAAGATTATTATATCTAATCCCAATTCTAAAAAACGCTTCGCCAAGAAAACTGCCGCCCTTAACCCAAAGTTTAAGCTCGAATATTATATTTACGGTGCAGTGGAACTGGTATTTAGTAGGAGGACTATCACTGAATCGATCGATATCTAATAACCAAAGAAATGTAATAATACTAATCGATATTAACAAAAAAATCGACGAGTGTATGTTTTCTATAGACTCCGTAACGGCTGGACCGAGTTTGATGAAATTTTCCGATTAACCTACCGATCGGATCAAAGTCAAAATAAAATCAAAGAACGGCCGGTCTTCATTAGTTCTTTTAATATTATTCGCAACAACTATGCTTTTGAAGTATAATCACACGTCAATTTTCAGTCTAGATTTTTGTAAATATTTTTATTGCGTAGACTACTTTTCACTTTTATTTGTTTCGTGTTATTTATTATTCATATTCTTTTATACTTTAAATATTTGCACCGAGGAATGTTAATTCGTCAGGTACAGCTAGATAATCAAAAATATTTTTATAGTAAGGGCTTATAATGAGCTAGTAGGTACCATCGTTTCTATTTCTAGACTTGCATTTCCGTCATAAGACTATTGCATGTAGGCTATTACCCAACACAATTAACGTTTTTCGACTTCACGATTCAAGGAGCATTCATCTTTAGAATTCTATAGGCTTTAGTAGCCAATTGACATCTGAAGGACTGTGAAAATCGTCTTATTAATAGTCAATGCAACTGAAAAAAGTTTTAATAATGTTATTATTAATCAAGCTATTCCTTGAAAATGGAACTATAGTCGTGCGAGATCATTTAGCCTCTTGATTAATTAATTCATATCACCGATCCTTAGGTCGGTTGTAATGCGTTTATCCCTGCTGAGCCTTCGAGTATGATTACGCGATCTGGCAAAGCTGGAAAATTCTTCGGATAATGAGCAATCACTCGATGCCAAAAGAAATTGTAGAATTCCACTAAAACTTCTGTTTGATGTGTTACTGTGGGTGGGGGTTTTGTTTTGGCCGGAGGAAATCGCCGGACTTCCGCACTCCCCCCTTTTTTTTTTTTTTTT